TCACGAGTCTGAATCGTGGTTCGCGACAGGACTTTTTTGGGTGACTGTACCTCTGACCTGGGAAAACCCAGTTTAACTCACCAAAATCGTGCATTCTTCTTCCACCTGCGCCTCAACCAGCTTGCACTGCTCCTCCAGTTTACTCCGGAAGACATTATTGGTGTTGAGCTGAACCTCAAGCGCGGTGAGCTGGGGTTTTAAGACTGTCAGCTGGTTCTCAAGGCACTCAATCTCTTTTCGTCGCTTCTCTGTCTTTATCAACTGTTGCTTCGTCCGCTCTTGCACTGTGGAACATCGTTAAGTGTTACTACTATAATGTGTGTGTGTTACATTGTTATACATATCAAGGTTCGGTCGGAATTTGTTCGTAAAATGGCAGGTTAATGGGTAAAGAAAACGCTTAAATTCACTATGGCAATGATATTTTTTAATACATGTGGCCAAGAAGTGTCAAAAATAAGGGTTAAAGTTCCTAAAAAGTCACGTGACTGCGAAAAGCTGTGATTGGTTGTGACGTCACTGGTTGGAGTGAACTTCCCAGCGGGAGGCAGCCAGCTGTAGTTGTCCAACCTTCTCGGCTGATCGGCTCAGTAAATAAATATTATTAGATAATTAATTGTGCTTTATTGTGTAACACAGTAATACTATTTTGAATATATAAACATTACTAAGCACATAAACTAATTCAATGGATATTAGCTGCCCATGCAACAAATTTCATAGTATAAACATTCCAAACAATATTGGTATTATTTTGAGTATGGTCATTTGGGGAACCTTAAGATTCTAACTATGGGATTAAGTACTTTAAACAATAAGACACATTATCTCTACAGGATTTGTCGCAAAACATTTATCGATCGCATAAGAAAATACGGGGTATGATGAGTTATCAGGTTAGCTTAACATACATCAGTAGGGGGGGGGGGGTGTAGTAACTCAAAACTAGTGATTTCCGATTGATATGAAGGTCTCAATCGTTCATAACAAATTGCAAACCATCAGAAAAAAGCAGTCTGTATGTCTAAGTACAGGGATGACCAAAACTAATAATTTACCCAATATAGCCTATCTCGAATCTTAACATCAAAATACTTATGGTAGTTATAGTAAAATTTTACCCATTAATTAATATAAATGATGATATATCCCAGTGGTTCATTAGTGAATCATCAAAACTATGTTGTCATGTTTAGCTAGCATCAGGCATTATCAAAACAAAGTCCAGACAATGTCATCACTTCTAAATTTACTCGTATCTCCATCTAGTACTGATATACTGTGTAAATGCACTGAAAAAAAGGTCTATCAGGTAAGAGTACATGACAGCTGAGCTGGTGTGAACCTGGGGGTTTTTTATGTCCAAAAGAACATAAGAATGGAGGACACTGCAGCGGGCCATACTGGGCAGTCCCATTTACACCCCTATCGCTCATATATCCATCCAACCTATGTTTGAAGCTGCTCTTCACGGCATATTTGTTCACTTAGGAAATGTCCATGACTACGACTGCAGCCCAGTGGTGCTTGAAACTAGTGACGTCATTGCATATGGCGGTCCTGTTTCCAGAGAAATAAACTTATCTCGACTATCACTATATGAGCGTGGCAGTGTATTTCTTGTGTTTGCCCAGAACCGTCAACTCGTCCATTCAAAATTCCCGAGAGAGAGAGAGACGGGGATTTGAACTTTTTTTTTACTTGGATACGATTACCAGCCTAACTCGTTACCTAAATAACAAATACTGTCACCACCTCATACTTATGTCCCTTGACACTACGGTTTTCTTACAGGAATTTGGAGACAGTTGGCTTCACAAATGGTATTTCCGAGCGCTAAACTTCTTAGCCGATACTTCGAACGCAAAGCTTTTATTTCGGCATTGTTTAAACTATCATTATGCTTCTCAACTGACACTTTTGTCTATTTCCCATCGATAAGCTGTATCTACACACTACAGTAACTGGCAATGCTGAAAACCAAAACACCAAAATATGACCCATACTATTTAGAGCGTAGGCGTATTAAAATGACAAAAGTTGAAAATTAAAAATTAAACCATTTAGTAAAGGTATGGTTACAGATCATGGTGCTCTCACTTCAGTGTTGCAAGAGACTGTTACAAATAAATAACCTTTGGGTGTTCCTGGTGCACATTTGCAGTAAGGGGCTGAGTAAAAACATAATGTAAATTTCGTGGAAAGAATAAAAGAAACTACAGTAATGTCAATTCACGAAAATCCAGCTTAAAATCTTCAGAGAAATACTAGTGGGAACTTAACGCTAAACGTGAAAGCTGTGGTGCTGGAACATTTATGACAGGGTAGAGTACACGAATAAACCCAACCTTAGTTATGTTAACAATTGGTTACTTTGGTCCCGTCAGGTTAGGTTTCTTCATTACGTCTGGGTGGTTAGTCTGCTCCCTAATTTAACCAAACCTATCTAGTAGGTGAAATTTGGATTAGGTTGATTTGTCTGCATCTTTCGTATTTGCTCTAGTTTAACCAAATCTAAGTATTTAGATTAAGAGGATTAATTTAGGTCATATCCTTCATATTTGGTCTCATAGTTCAACACAAAACTGAACAGTGGTCTAATGCCAAGAGGTAAACACACTTTGGTTGAACAGATTCAGCGTGTTTACCTAGTGAGTTTGACTAGGCTGCAGGGGTTGCTTTGATGTATTCCTTGGAAACTAAATTATCAGCTGCATCTACTGTGTCATGTTAGTATCCTAGCACGTCTACGATGACTATTGCTTAAAAATATTTTTCCACTGGCGAATCATATTCTCAAATCTCTTCCTCGTGACTAAAGAATTGGTAGACGTCCAACACACGTCACACCGTACGTAAATTTCATTCTCACTTAATACCATCACCAATTTACTGACTAGTGTCATTAAAAAACAACCTTGGCCACCTGCAACTTTCAGAATAACTATTTATCTCCAACTTAAAAAAAAATATTTGTATAAAATATTTCGGCGTCTATTTCTCAAGACCATCAAAATATTCTCTCCTGGCTGACATTGCCACTTCTGAGTGGGCATGAAGACCCCATGACCCTTGCATCTTTGCACTATAGCATCAACTAACATGAATGAAAACAATAAATGGCAAAAAAAAAATCAGCGGATGGCCAGAATGTTACAAACTAACACAACTTGTTCGCTTGACATTTTCAATTCGGTCAAGCATTGCTATGAAACTTAAAACTGTAATTAACATTTATTACCTTCAATGATATTCCTTTTCCTCGTCAATAAATAATTTTCAGACCGACGAATACCATCCAATATACCGTCTAGTTTTAAATCTAGATTAGCCATTACTGAATAATTTTTCCCGGAAATATAACACAGTACAGTAACCGTTGCTCAATGTTTGGTCATGCGAGTCTCTATCATACACATATTAGGATATTGTTATACACTGCACCATCCGTATGTACAGCAGGTTAATTTTTTCATTGTTCATTCGTCCAATATAGAGCTAGGATAATATTGGCCTATTAAACATTTTTATATTACATTGCCGCAACTTGGAGATCCAGTCTACTCAGGATTAGTGCATATACTGGACAAATAAAGACCGCGCTCAAAACCTTAGTTGTTAAAGCTGAGGAATACATAATAGTACCAACAACAGAATGAAGGACCGTCACATTAAGTAGTTTTGACTCTTGAACTGCTGTTACTGTAGTGTTTCTCTTGATTTGCTTACCTACGTTTGACGCTTTATAAATGACACCTCAAAGCCGCATGATTAATTGTTATCCCTGCACTTGACCCGACTGACCTTTGATGTTATCTCATTTATGATAGCTTAAGTAAAATCTTGCGTAGAATAATCCTACTGTATAAAAGTTTCCCTGATCGTCCTGACAATATACTTCAGTACCACACAAAAGTTCATGCAATTACTGTTACTAGTGTATATTATCTGATTTCCAAATGTTAGAAAAATAAACAGTTTCTACTCTTCAGGACTAAAAAAAATGTACATATGTATATTTAATGTATTCTCTAAAAAGTTCCTATTTGGAGTGTCCATACTTTACAACCACGCGAGGAACTGACATTTGTATACTGTTCACATGCTACGTGTCAGCAGTCACAATTACCACTGATTTACTTCGTTAATTTGAAGTGCAGTGCACGAGGGAGTTATTATGATAGAATTGAATTGCATTTTTGTCAAGTTTAAAACGAAATTCCCTGATGAATGCGTTTTGTTCTTTGCAATGTAGAATTACATAGATAATTTAGTTATCGTTCGTCTAAATTGTTGAGCGTACATTATAGCTTCAGTATAGATAATAAAAATACGGAAAATTACATTGCTAAAATAATTAGATGTTTTTTTAAATTTGATGGATTGTATATATTATTTTTATTCATTTACAAACAGGATTCTAGAGTCTCATTTGATTTTCATCTCAGTAGCAGGAATGCCATCTCAGCGCACAAGTCGCTATATCTAGCGACTTTGATTCCTGTATGCGACTTTTTATCTTCCTTCGCGACTAGTGGATTTATTTTAAGAGACTGCTGTCACTAGTTATCGGATAGCTTATCAGGTTTACATATAAACCTGAAAATGAGATGTTTGTGAAACTTTGTGATTTACGGCAACATAGCCAATCTGAGAAGCATATCTAAACCTCGGGACCATTTCCAAGTCATTATCATTTAAAGATTAATTACCAGAAGAGTAACAAATATGAGGCCTCCGACTAGTGTAGCTGAAGGCCATTTGGGACTATTAATTGTAGAATATTGCTCATTTCACACTACCAACCACTTACCTGAAATTTAAAAAGTAAAATTTGTGATAGTAAAATTCTACATCACTTCTTGGGGTTAATTACCTACGCAAGATATTTAATTTCACTTAAGTAATTTTAAAACCATCAGTTAATATATACAGTAAAATTAAACAAAACTCTAGCGCCTCTTAGCCATTACGGGTTGGTACTTGTGTCAGTAGTGAGCTGGAATTCATGATGGCTGGAATGAAGTTTGAGTACGATGAATCTGGCTCAACATTTTTCTATTTCCTGACTAGTTTTCTGGGATTAGTTCTACTACCTTGTACATTTTACTTTTGGCCAGCAGCTACAAATGAAGGTAAGTTATTTTTATATCCGTATTAAGCCATAATTAACCTTGAAATACATGTGATTGTTTGTGTTCAGCTGTTGTCTAGTTATTTACTCCTAAATATATTCTTGAATGGGATGGATGTAACAATATAAGGTGAAGGAATTAACTAAGGAGGATTGTAAAGTTGAATAAAGGTATAGGAGATGTATGACAGGGTGCCTAGAGGTGGTAGTGTGAAGGCGAACTTTAGGTAGGGTGAATAACGGGACCTTCCCCGGTTAACCTGGCTACCAGCTGTTATAAGAGCAGTCTGACCCTCATCCCCGGCCTGTTACTCGTACCTCCAACTTACGTTTTTTTTCTACTTCTAAACTGCATCAACATAAAACATGAACCGTGTCTCAATACCGTCTACTTACTTCTTTTCCTCTTTTGTCTATCTCTTTCATCTTCCGACTTGTGTTTCCAAGTTTATTCATTATTTTATTCACCTCCTCTGCATGTATTCAAGTCCTAACATAACCTAATATAGATAACAAAATAAAACCTTGCAATCATAAAGTTAGATCAGGTTAGGTAAGTCAGGTTGGTTTATCGTAATTACAATATATCATTTATATAGCTTTGAGCAAATCTATGAGGCTTAGGTATGGGTGTATGTTAACTACAGTATATAAGTAATTTAGAGGTCTTTTTATAATAGTGCACTGTTCTATCTAACCTAACCAAATCAGGGGGCTCCGCCCTCCTGGACCCCCCTGATTAGGTTTGGTTGGTTTTTGGTGATTTTCTATGTGTTTTCTTACACATTTCTAATACCCAAAGAAAGAATGGTGTACTACTATAAATTGACCAATTTCGATATATCACATCGTAGGGTTGTTTGATTAAAATCATAGTTTAAACCAGTACTAAATTTGCAACAGTGCTGGACAACTCGTACTCGAGCAAATCGTACCCAGCAGAACATGTCAAGTCGTACCCAATTACAAGATAACTCGTACCCAATTTACGAGATAGTTCATATCCTTACATTAACCATATATATACCAAGAGAAATCCACCATATGCGGGAAGGAATTGAATACGATCAAAATTAGAATCCTCATATACGCTGATGAACTGGATATAGTAAGCAACAACATCCAAGAAGTAGATACGATGGCAACAACCTTTAAGGAAATAGCAAATTCAACATTACTTTGAGATAAATGTGGATAAGACCAAAACAATGATCATGGAAAGAAACCAAAGGCAAAACCCACAACGTGCCGGTATAAGTGAAATGAATATTTAAGAAATAGAGTCCTTTAAATACCTTGGATCACTTATGACATGAGAAAACAAGATTGAAGAAGAAATTATGTAAAACCAATGTAAATTATAGCCAGGATTGGAGCCGGTAATAGATGCAAGATCTGTACAGTATCAAGAACAACAAAGCAGAGAATTTACGACACAATAATACGTCCAGTTCTTACTTACGGTTGTTAATCATGGGATACACTTCCGCAAATTTGTGAGCCTCATTTCTGATGTCATCATTATCCATTTGGCAGCATTCTATCACTACTCTGAACCGATTGTGTACATTTTTATATACGTACAGCCATTCTAGTCTGCAGCCCGCATAATATAAACTGGAGAAGTGTTGTCATCAACATGCTGCTTTCGTTGTCTAATTCTGGTGACTTTGTATTCTGCAGTACTTCATAAAGCTTGTGCTTCCATCTCAAAAAAATCAAAGCGCGAGTTGTGTACGAGTTATCTTAGGTACGAGTTGGCGTGGGTACGAGTTAACATTTTTGAGTACGATTTATCTTGGGTATGAGTTGTCTTGGGTACGAGATGACCCTTATCCAATTTGCAACAGCGTTACACTTGAAATTTTGCTTTTGGGGATTTTGTTTAAGGAAGGTAGGGTACTTTTAGTTCACAGATCCATTGATAGAACTGTGATAATATATCTTTGAATTTGCATCTTGTGTAATTGTACAGACAAATATCATCATGTTGTTTCTTGGGATGGCTAGAAAAATTGTGCTCATCGTGTTTTCTCTTGCTTGAGGTTAGGTTAGAGTTTTTTGAGAAGTGTTTAATTCTTGGCATTTGCAAGAGACAGAATTGGAAAATTTATCCGTATGATTAGCCTTGGCCTTGAATTTACTTAAGTAGGTTATGGCTGTGGCCTCTGTGCCTTTAGTGCTTAGGTGTACAGTATTGACAAAAACTATCGTAAGCCACATTATAGGAGAAATGAATCACTCAACACCGTCAAATTTGTTGGAAATAGTAATGTAAACATAAGTTTTTAAAATATAATTCTCAATACAAAATGCTTCAGACATGTTAGCAAAGTTTGATTTATGGGCTATATATAGCATAAATAATTTATAACGACATAAATCACCCAAACTTAAATATACTGTAGCTTATTTTGGGGGTTAGGTTAGGTCAGGTCTAGTCAGGTTGAATTGGTTTGTGATCCTTTTGTAATAAATGATTTGCTACATAACCTCCCAGACTTGTGCTTTGTTGGTACAGCGTCTGCATGAGGCTCTGGATGAATAGTTGAAGGCTGAAGCTATTTTTATGGATCTAGATGGTGAATTCTCCAAGTTCACTACAGGGTATGTGGACACTGGGGTCATGACCAAATTTCTTCAAGTTGTCTCTCATGATAGCTGAAACTTGAAGGTTTCTCGAGAAACCTAACTTATCCTTACCTCAAGTAAGAGACATCGTAGTCACAGTTGCTACACCACCCGATCAACCGGGATCACTATCGTGTATAACCATACACGATAGTGATCCCGATTGATTCAGAGAAGACTACATACCTGAAGGCAGTCCCGGTGGATCGGGTTTCCTATCAGGATTGTTGGAACAATTCATTGGGAGGGGGTGTCAGCCCTATGTCAGTCCTGATGAACTTCAAAAAAAATTGCCCTCCAAATTTTGATATATTGAAATAGAATATATTCAAAACTGATAGAAAATGAGTTTATTAGAACAGGAACTCTTGTTTCCATATACATTAAAGTATTGTCAGTTACTGTATTTACAAGTGTTAAATAATCCTGGCTGATCATGAGCGTGCGGCCGTGCCTCAGCAAACAAAGCCCTTTTCTTTTTTCATAACTCAAGGGGTCAGATGCCTTGTCTTGTATAATTTTCCTTTCTCTTAAATGAGGCTAACCAGAGCACAGGACTGTTTAAAAGACAGCAGTGTGCTACATTCATAGCTATCCATATTTCCTGTGCTGTGTTGTGATAACTGACTCCCGGCATACCAACCACCAGCCACCCGAGTGTGGCCAACACCTGGTGAAATATTACCTTCCAAACAAACCTCACAAACACCAGAGAATGATAATTTCTATATCACATTGACATTGTTTTCTTTTCTTTTTTGTGTTTGGGGGAAATATTATTGGATTACTCAACACCTGGGTTGTGGCCACAGTAGGCCATCCAACCGATTTGGAAATGTTGGTAGCCCTGCTTGGAGGATCGGGAGCCTGACCCATCGCAGTGCCCGAAGCACATTCTTGAATAACTTCTCCGTACACGAGCTTGGGGTCCCAATGGATGGAGGCATGATGACTTTGAATGTGGCCCAATGTGACAAGCACAATTCCTCGAGCATGTGAGAGACAAGGTGATGAGTATTAGTTGTGACCCCATTGACCTCTATGTCCTTAGAGTTATCCTGGAGAAATGAGCTGTACAGATACATAAGATTAGCCACAGTGATAAGTAAAATACTGGTTATAGGTCTGCAGAGTCAAATTGAATGTTTACTAATACAAACACAACAGTGAAAATTAAACCAATAAACATCAGGGAATGAAGTGGCAACTCTCTCCTGGACCTCTATCTAAAAATATTTAGGTAAGGCTTGAGGAAAGGATTACCACATTACTCCCCATTGCTTTTTGATGAGATCTTTAGTGATACAGTACAGTATGTAATGGTAAGCCATGCAGCCTTTGTGAGGAAATTTTTGATAAGGCTCATGCTTCACAGGCACATTTTATAGTTAATTTTGTTGGCTGACATTTTTTTTCCACAACCAACTAATATTTAAACCTTAGATATTGATATAAATTTTTTTCATTTATAGAAGACCAGGAGAAAGACTGCTGTGAAGTATTCCAAAGAAAGCACTCCAGACTCAAGAAGCCCGAAAAATGGAAAGGACTACGCAAAAATACTCAGTAAGTCATGTGGTAGAGAAATTTAGCTACTGTATCTAGTTTATCTGTCTTTTAAACAATTTATTTTGAAAAAAAAAATTGTACCGTATTCTCATATCTATTAATTTATGTCCAGGGTATACAAACCCATTAGGAACACAAACTTAGTGTTTTGCATGTTTTGAGTTTGAGGAAAACCAGTGATTATTTCAGTGACTAAAGTTTGTTTTTGTAGTATTTTTGTTAATTTTTGGTCTTTGGGTCATCAGTGAGTGATTAATTACTAGTACATGTACAGTATAGTACAGTACACTTGTTTTCCATTATGACTACCTATTGTACTGTCCAACCTCTCCACACCATTGTTTTTATTCACTGGAACCCCCAGGAAGGCCTGAGAAGTTTTGTTTTAACTTGTTATAATAATTTTCTTACCATATTGCAGGGTGACTGTATTTGGGAGCAACTAGACTCTCCCTTTATTTACTGTCACTCATTCATTATTATTCTTACTGTTGTAACAGATGCCTTCTGCTGTGGTGCTCTCTTTTCACAGTAAAATCCCAAGATATCCATAGGGTGTTTTGTGGTAATTGGTCTCTCAAGTCACTTTTTCTGTCTGCTCAGCCAGGCTTTTCTACTTTAATCCTTCCTTTCTATTTATTTAAATTTAGTTACAGTTGGTATGATGTTGTGAGTTTCTGAATTTGTATCAATATGTTACATTCACAGCTGCAAATTTATAGATGTAAATTATGATAAGTAAATTTTCTTTAATGAAGTTTGTTAATAAAATGCATCTTTTCTCACTCCCACAGGCGTGGGTTAATCTTAGTGGGTTGGGCTGTGATGGCTATCCTCGTGTACAAGCTACAACAGTTTGATTATGAATATGCCAACTTTGACCCTTATGATATACTTGGGGTTGGCGTGGTGAGTCACTCATTGCCTTGTGGTTGGAAACATTAACATATAATATTTTTGTAGTACAGATATTTTTTTTTTTGCCAATTTTTATGGATACTGTATGTACAATCTTTTATGAAATTAATGCATGTTCTGGTGTACTGTATTAGGTGAATATTATAAAAAAAAATTGTGGTCATGGCAAGGTTGTATGGATGTGCAGTACAGTATATTGATTCATATTTCTTAGGGATCATCTGTTGCTGAGATCAAGAAAGCATACAGGAAGCAGTCTCTTGTATACCATCCTGATAAGCCTACAGGCGATGAACGCAAGTTTATGAGGTTAAATAAAGGTGAGGAACTTAGCAACTAAAATATATAAAGAATTTGGTAGTGGGATGTGTAGTAGTTATTGCATGCTATGGAAAAAATTAATAAATGATATACTGTAAATGATTTTGTTCATTCTTAAGCTTTCCCTTTGCAGATCCCCTTGTCTTTTAATATGAGTCAATGTATCAACATGTTTGGTGTCTTTCATTGCCTTGTTATAACACAAGGATAAAGTTTTTCTCTTTTGTATAATAGTAAATGAAGTAACATTGTTAAGCTTCCAGAAATAGGATACTGTACATGGTATTAAAATAACCTAGATTTTTAGGATTGGTTATTTTGGGACTGCCACCTTATTTTCCAAATAAAGTATATTCATTTTTTTTTTTTACTTGTTTATATATACATTGCACTTGTTGTCTCTATATCCAAAGAGCAGTTTCCTCCTGACAGTTGCATTCAAAGGTCATTTCTGGAGGTTACATTGATAGTAGTACTGTACTGGTATCTAACAAATGATGGAAGGTAGATTTTTGTATGAGGGGAATGTTCATTTAATTGTACTGTACTATACAGGTAAATGTAAAATTGGGCGGATCAGAGACTCGGTAGAAGTTTGAGTTCCTGTTGTATAGATATTACTCATAAACAAAATCCAAAGTTTACTTATTTTTTAATGTTGCTGAACCTTCCCCTTCTTATGATCAAGTAATAATCTTATCCATTATGTAGCATATCTGGCACTGACGGACGATGATGCCAGACGAAACTATGAGCGGTATGGTCACCCGGATGGTCCCGGGGCAATGCATTTTGGAATTGCTCTTCCTTCATGGATTGTTGAGAAGGAGAATTCCCTGTGGGTGCTGGGCCTATATGGGCTGGTGTTTATGATCGCTCTGCCCACAGTTGTTGCCATATGGTGGTACCGGTCTTCCAAGTTCTCCAATGATCAGGTATGTTATTTTTCATGTGCCTTGTACTGGGTATTTGCTTGAAGATTCTGTACCTGCAGACATACTGATTGTACAGTACTGTGTTCAGTTTAATTGATCTTTTAATATAAGATTTTGGTTTATTTGAATATATTTGTGACATATTCAAGTTTTGTTTGACCAGCATAAATATATTTTGATTTTGAATTACCTGAAGATTTTTATGACAAATTTCCAGGTTCTGCTTGACACAACACAACTGTATTATTACTTCTTCCATAAAACTCCACACATGGTGTTCAAGAGGGCGCTCATGGTTCTGGCAGCATCCTTGGAATTTGAGAAGGGACACAATCATGAGATTGTTGTAAGTTGAATGATTGAATGTTAAAGTAGGATGCTGTGCCTAAGTTCTTGTCACGATTTCTGCTGTGTAGCAATTTTCCTTCATTGTCAGAAGGAGTTTGAATTTGAATCATGATCACCGAGTTGTAGCAGTAACATTTCTGGTACAGTTTTGCGACACTGTTGAAACTAATCTTATTAGGTTGTGTGCAGTTAGTTGCCTAGTACATTTGTTTTTGTCAGTGGCTTAATACCTGTATGTTATTACATTTATTTTTTGTAGTGCTGCTTGAATATATTTTTCTTTTCTATTCTTTCAAGCTTCTCTCAAGTACTGTACTGTACAGTGTAACAAGGTGCCTGTAAACACACACACACTACCCGGTACTCATCTTTTACTTCCCATTCCCTCTTTATGTCTATAACACCTGAACAGACCCTGGTTTGCCTTCTGCCCAACACTTGACTTTCACATTTCCTTATTTATTTATTTTTTATTCTCTGTATCCTTTTTGATTATTTATTGATTTACAGGAACGTCCAACTGATAATGTAGAATTGCCACAGTTGATAAAACAGTTGCCAAACCTTGGAGAAAAGAACAAGGAACGTCCACTGTGTTTTGCATACTCCATGAAGGCGCGCTCCCTGCTACATGCACATCTTTCTCGTATGAAGCTTCCAGATAATACCCTGGACCAAGACCGGCTGTATATTGTCAAGTAAGTATCAGTTTTTTGTTGTTGTAATGGATAATGACAGCTCACTGGCTGGCTACGTGGTATATTCTGGTTTAACAGTACTTTACCCTTGTAGTTAGTCAAAGGAATCATACAATCTAACTCAGATAATTTTTATTAATTTTTTTTTTATAGGCAAATTGGATTTTTGGTTTCAATGGGCCAAAAATGTAATTATATCAGTGAAGAGAGAAACTGGCCATTTTTATATAGTTTTTCATGTTCTTGCAAGCTCTCTTGTACTATGGTATAGGGCTGCCAGATGTGAAGAACATATGCTCTTTTTCCTTACTTGTTAACATTCACTTTCAGATGCTTGAGGAATATTGTGTTGTGTAATACCTAAACCTGAAAATGAACTTTGTGTACTACTTGACTAGTTATGTTGATGACATACAATTAGAGTATTTATATGATATTAACCAGGTTATTTAGACTGAGCTCTGCATTTTATAGTAAGAAAGAAGTATCAATCTACACACATTAGCGACCACTAGGTAAAAAGGGTACAATGACTAACACAGATGACGGGCACAGCTTTTGATTAATATTATTATTATTTTTATTTTATTTTTTTAAAGTGGTGTCACAGCCAGTCAATGGGCAGTGACAACCATGGCTTTTGTGAAATTCAAAACCACTATAATCATGTACAATTTCTGTGACAACTGTAAATTAAGGGAGTAAATATGTGTTTGGAGGGAACCTTGTGTGTGGTTATAAATTAAAGGTGACTGTAATTTGCAGGTGCTGTCCCATACTGATTCAGGAGATGGTGACCTGTGTGTCTCAGCTGATAATGCTGGCACATGCTGGTCGTATTGCTCGCCTGCCTTCTCTGGACACCATTGAAGCATGTATGAAACTCTCCTCAAATATTGTGCAGGCTCTCTGGGACTCCAAGAATCCTCTGCTTCAGCTGCCTCATGTCACAGAAGAGTCCCTAAGGTGAAGTCTTGTATGTGTTTTTAACCCTTAAAAAAAGATAACAGGATAGTAGAATACAAGAGGTTATTTAACACCAAAGCATCTTTTGGTTGAATTCTACTTTTTTGTCTTAACTTAGAGTGTTTCACCATAATGTGATTTATTTCACTTGGTTATTTTTCATCATTTCACTTTTACCTGTATATTTTTCCATTTGACTCCTCTTATCTAGCTAGTGTATGACTGTATTTTGACTAATGCAACACTAATGATTTATTAGAATTTCCCTTGCATGACACCCAAACCAACTAATAGATTTCTTCAGTACAGTAAATGGTTCAGTTGTTAATGTATGGCATCTAAAATTGAAGGAATGGAGATGATTGGTGGATGGAATGTTTGGGAAAATATCACATGTTCCATCTCTTAAGAGAGGTAACACAACATTAGAAATATATAGGTAATATATTGTATTGAGAAATAATAAGTGATTTCAGCCACCCAGCTTTATAGAGGGGAAAAGTGAAGAAGATATAATTATCCTCATAATTCAGCTCTTGTAAAGTACTCCACCCTTGCATTACGGCTGTGCAGATATGTTTACCATACTGTTCTGTTTTGGCTCCAAATGTTGGGACTTAAAGTTTTCAATTGGGAAGTTGTTCACTCTTGTGGGAGCTCAAGTTTGATTGAGGGAAGGGTGCAAAGAGAGAACTCAGAATAAGGATAAAAAATTCATTGGAAATGTAGAATTAGAAAGGGAATACAGTAATTGGCATTGTAAATGATGGTGCACAGAAACAGAGGAGTTTGTTTTTGTTACAAGGAGTACACAGTGAGGTCATATATGAAGAATAGGGAAGGAGGCATACAGGAATTTGAGAAATACATCAACTTGTGTGTTTGATGGAAATATACGATGATGTATGTTCTTAGGAGTCAATGTACTGTGTTAGATAATTATCAGTTGATCATAATAATATCATTACAGGCATTTTGTGAGTAAACGTCGACCAGTGAAGACCATCGAGCAACTTCTATCTCTCTCTTCTACGGAGAGGCATCATGTTTTACGTTCTCTCTCAGAAGAAGAGTTCAACGATGTTATGATTGTGTGCAGGAAGATGCCAAAGATTGAAATGAATGTTAATTATGAAGGTGAGATTGCATGTTGGAATTACCATAGATATTATCTTCACTATTTTAAGGAGTTTTAGGCAAGTTTTCTAATATGTAGAATGCAGAAGAGATCATGAGTTATCAGTAGTCTATTCCTTGATTTTGACTTGGGTATGTGTCATAAGAATGTTCTAAAAGGTGAGAGGTGGCTGAAAAATGTAATGCCAGTGAGTTATAGCTAATTGTTGAGTTTTAAAACCAGTGAGAGTGACAGCAGTCTTTTAGTTTGTGATGACTGAAATACAGTATTCTAATTTAAAGTTTGTGTGATGTTTAACCAAGTTGCAAGGAGTTGGATGGAAGCATGCTAAATAGTGTTATAAAGGAATTGTTTTAAAAATTTGAGTTGTTTGCATGTAAAATCATACAGTAGTTTGAGAGAAGGTTGTTCATCAGTGAACTGAAGAGGATAGGAGCAAGAACAGAACTCTGAAGCATCCCTAACATTAATGGGAAAGTAACTTGATTATGTCTTAATGACTACTGTATATTGACACTGCAGCTTGATAGAAGTGTCAGATTAGATGGGAAAAAGGATTCTCCAAGTTAATGGAGAACAAAATCAGAATTGTGAGCAAAGTGCAGTGGAATGACTTAGCTGTAACCCACACAATATATCTCTTGAGACTAGTAATTAGTACTGTATATCTCATGGTGATGAAAATGTTACCTGTGTTCAATAGATTCCAAAACCTTAGAGGTACTAAAGTATAGGTTATGGATGTATAGTTAGATAAGGTACTGTACAGTAAAGGGATGTTCTTTCTTTGAATGTGTTGTACATCAGCAAATTTTTATCGGTTGTGCTATTCTGTGAAAATTTGAAAAGCATGCTAAGGGTATGGGCAACTTCTGGTGCTTATCTGTATTTGTATTCTTATGAATTTCCTCTGTGGTTATACAAGCTGCTTGTGTTGGTCTGCAGGCTACATACCCACTGTAACAAGGTTCATTGGGTACATTTTGAAGGAATTTCTGTAATACTTCTTATGATGTTTTCTGTTATTGCTGATGGGAGGTCAAGTAATGAGATAAGCAAAGTATTGCTAATAGTGATTATGGTAAGGTCATCTCACCTTATAAGTTTACTTACTCTCAATACTCTACTGCACTTATCATTTAATATGAAATCATATTTGTGTGAGGATTGTGAACCAATCTCTGATACAGTACATACTAGCATTATGTATTAAGTATTATTATTTTGGTGTCTGTTGAAGTGAGTAGATAAGGAATATCATCAAGTGTGCCCAACAATGTAAATGTTGATGTTTAACAATGCCAAAAATTTATTTCCTGTATGATTTCTTTGAGAGTTGTTTCACTGGCCTTAGTGATAATGCTTACTATTGTATGTGGTCTGGCATTATTGTATTGATAGACGAGGTGCACACATCTGATGTGACATCGGAACTTGTTACCTTGGGCTTTAGGTGGTAACTACTGTTTCTGAGACCCCCTTCCCTCTTTGCGGGGTTCAATTTTCAGTGAGAAGTTGTAATTTTTTTGTGAAATAAATCCAGCCACCATTTCCTGGATATTAACTCCACAGAGTTATGGGGTAATAAGTGATTTGTTTAGGATGTGTGAGGCCATAAAATTAAGTACAGATACCAGGTATTTCCAATATTCAGTGAAATGGGTTTGTTGCTGCCATAATGGTGAAATCTCTGCGGGTGATCAGGGGGTTTGCTTTGTATTTAAATTTTTGTTTAATTTGTGCAATTCTAATGATGAGATTTTTCTCTTCCTTCAGTCGTTGATGATGACGATAGTGGCGTTTTTACTGCTGGAGCAATAGTAACAGTAACAGTGAACCTGAGGCGACGCCCAATGGGAGAAGTGTATGAACATACTCTTCAGGAAACTGAGCAGCGGCTCGATGGTCAAGAGAAGGATGAAGAGTCTCTTGCCCTTTCTGTTGTAAGTATTCCATTTGCTCTTCTTATGCTTTGTTTCAACCATTCTCTTTAATTTCCTTTTGATCTTCCTGTGGTCCTATCTTCTTAACTATTCCTGTCTTTCACCTGATGCTCATATGGCCATCTCTCTAACAGTCACTTATACTGTAGTAATGTAGAAATAATTGAACCATCCTGATGAGGGACCCTCCTCTGAATTTGGTTCCTCTTATTATTCAGTGTTGTATGTATTATTGGGACAGCATTTCCTCTCATAATATACAGTATTTACTTTTGAACATTTGTTTAATAGGGAAAAAAATCAGGATGGAAGAAACCTCAACCTAAAAAGGGAGGAAAGTCCAAGGGAGGAAAGTCTCAACCACAGAAGAAAAAACAACATCAACAACCCACAGCAAAGAAAGAAGAAGAACATCAAGAGGAGAAGAAAGAGAAGAGTAAGAAAAATAAACTTGGTCTGTTTTTCCATTTTATTTTTCTGTTCTGGTTTAGGTCTTGAATATATAGCACTGAACATTATTTTAGGATTGGCTTTTTTGTTGTCTTGTGTTTTTGGCTTTCAGTGAGCTTTAGTAATGTAATGGTACTTGGATTGGTGTGGCTGTCCCCCCAAAAAATATTTCTTGTATGTGGTGTTGATTAAGGTTGCATTAATTCATATAACTTTGTGGCAGTTCAGATCAACTTATGAATGCCAAAGGATGTGGAGATAAAAAGAAGATGACTCAACACCCTGTGACAATTTTGCCTCGGAAGTGAGAGATTTGAGGTCGCAGTTTCCCCTTAAGATACAGGGGGTCTTCAGTATGTAGATCACATTATATTTGACAATGTTAGTTTAGCAGCACAGTACAGTAACAACCCTCTCGCTCCAGTCACCAAGGTGAGACATGTCTACTTAATGTATTCTGGGCCAATCCTAACTAAAATCATGGCTAGTGTAGACTTTTTAGTGAATTGGTAGAAATCTAGAGATTATCCAATTCAGGGTTTACAGTGGTTGGGATTCCATTGGGATACTAGAACTGATTTTGGTTTCATCTTTTAGCTAAGAAAATTTGGTCAGTTTCCTTAGGAAGGTGTCGTGTATGTGAGTGTGCAGTAGGAAAGATGGGTTTTACAGCCACTTTGGCGAGTTAGTCCTGGAGGCTTTGCCAATCATTAGTGGTCAGGAGGGGGAATCAGTCATAGGGAAAAGATTCAGGGATGTGGTTGTCCTGTTTCCTTGGAAGTTGAAACTTTCTTTCACTGATGGATTTTGAAAATACTTTAGTTTACACCACTCTGGTGTCTTGCTTGTATGGACAGATACTTCCAGACAATGGGGTTTCCATTTCTCAGATGGTATTAAAGATTGACTCCCATAGGTTGGGGCAACACCAGAATTTTGCATATGCTAGGGGGGGATGTAGAAGGTGAGTGCCTGTTTTCCTTTTCATGTGGAAAGTAAACTATTTATTGGGCTGGGTACTACTGTATGGCACATGGAGGTTCTTTCCCCTACTACATCTCTATAACTAGCTGGCTTGTGATTGGTGGGTTAGTTCAATCTGGTGTCAAATTGTCAATGAGGGTTTAAGACTGAAAACCCATTTTATAATAAAGCCTGTGAGGAGTGGCCAGGATCCCCATCTGCCTGTCTTGGGTGTTCTTAGTAACTGAGATGGAGTCTGTGTAGTGGAAAGTATGACCTGTGTGGCATCATGGCTTGTTATCTATAGTGCCATGAGGGAGAACTCTGACATTATCTCTTGTTTTTAAGATGATGGTTGTCATGGGGGAGATGAGTGCTCTTTGGATTATCTCCAGTTGGTTATGGCTTAATGCTGTACAGTATTAGGAAAACACTAAGCTTAGGCATGTTTATTCGTAGGTCATTTCTCACTTGCTCTGTTATAAAATGGATTTATGGATTTTCAGTAGTAAGTTTATAAAGTTTATATTTGTGCCTATGTTTTCATATCTTCATATCTTAACCCCTCTGAGATGAATAAAATTATCCTTACATGCGCTGAAGACGTGCCTAATCTTGAAATAATATTTAAGTCCTCTATGTTTTAGTTAAGTAGAAATTCTAACTTTCTTAGTGACATCTTAGTGGTTGTCTTAGAATACTTCCAGGTAGAATTATAGGTACTAGATGCACTGTGACTCCCTGTTCATAACTTTTTCAGTTCTGAGCATGTAGATCAGTTATGTCCTGTCTACTCTACATCTAAATTTGTTGCAGTCAATTGGTCTGGTTACCATTGTGCATAAATTCCTCCTTATATATTTGACTTTTTTAAAATAGCAGTTAAATGAGGTTATAGAACAAAAAAGGCAAGAGGATGCTCACCTCTTGAGGGCTCTCTGTGTGAATGGTTAGAAGGATGCCAGGGGCTGGATGCACTAATGTATTTAAGTCACTTAACCCTCCACTAGCACACTTAAATCATCGGTCTTAACTAAGACCACATGCACAATGCAAGTTAAATGTGCTAGAGTCTGGGATCTTGGAACTTAAGTTAACACCTCTGTGTGTCTTAAGAAAGCAAACAGGTTTTGCGTTCACTAGGGCAATGCTGCTTTTTTCGTAGCGTGCGATCTTATATAAATTTTGGAAAGGTGTTTTAAATGCAATCTACAAAAAACTCGTGATTGATCTATATAGGGTGCAACAGAAGTATACTCCTCAAATTAGATTAAATTGAAGGTGTTCCACCGATGTTCAGCAACAATGAAGGTATAAGATGGTTCCCATCAGAGAAGGTTGTTGTTGGCAGTGTGACGGCTGTGTTGTGACTGACGAATCATTGTTAGCTTGTGACCACCAAAACAAAACAGCTTTGGTGTACAAAAAAAAACAGATGCAACTAAAGGATTCCTTTACCATAAACCTTAACTATAACCAAACCCACAATCAGTACTTGCACAACAAATTAGAAAAAATATAATAAAAGAACCGACACCAATACAAATATTAAAATTGCCACTCCAAGCATACAAACCATTGTCATTATTGTACAATATATGGTACTTCTATTGTAGCAGATGATCCTTGAAATGGAGGACGATGGGAGCTGCTTACAATGACAATATGTACTATCGTGGACAAAAGTTCGCTCCCTGTAGTGAAACTGAGACAATGGAATGAGTCTCCGAACTGACTTGCCCTGATTGTTATCTGGTGCGGGTGTGCTGTGCGGGTCGATACTGCTTCAGTATATTCACACTTCTGTTTAGTTACACTCATAATATTTAGTATGCACTTAAACATTCATGGAGACCCCAACATTGATTCTGTCTCATATCTCCAATTTCTCTTCAATTGGTGGAGTTCTAATGACCATTCCTTTTCTCCTTTACTTGCTTTAGAGGTCATAATAATACTCTGTGGAAGCACTAAATACAAAAACCTGAGTGCGTGGCAGAGCAGTGATAGCAATATCAAACAGGTGGGAACTGTTGCCCCACGTAACCTCCCCTAAGCCAGAACTCATCTGACTTACAGGGTTCTTACTGTTCATGCCTGTACAGTACATCCTCATCAGAACAAGATCCCCAGATCTCTGTCTTCAACTTATTCTTGCTTGCTTCTTACTTTACCTCTAAATGAGAAGGCTGGGCAATGTTTAATTGTGGTGTAGTTGTAGATTCACTTTCATTGTATTGCATCAGTTGTATTATTCTGTACAATGTTTGCCTTGTGGTAGTGTTTATTTGTGATATGGATGTTGTGTATTTGCTGTCGTTCAGTTGCATTATTTGCAGTGCACAGTTTATATTTGAACTTTACTATTTTGGCATGAATATACAAGTATGTCCTTGACAGATGAATTGAGAGATAACTGCTGAAGCTTATGGACGTGTGTGATTATTTACCAGCAGCAGGTTCACAGCAGCAGGGACAGCGAGCAGAGGTTATTGAAGAGAAAGCTGATCAAGACACAGATGAGGATGATTCAGCTTCCCATTCTGATGAATCGCTTGCTGAAGAAGCAGACACTGAATCCCATAGAGATGATAAGGTAATAATGTTTAGAATGCTCCCAATTTTAATGCAGGATGGCATATAGGTTTGCACATTTTCATTTGTCATGCCTAAATTTTTTAATGACATTATATAAAAATTTTCAGCTTGAAGTACAGTACTGTACATTCATCTTCATCTACCCTTCTCCCTCTCTCCATTGACTTTGCTATTAAATACTCTTCTATAATTTTCTCACTTTGATTGTCTCAATACCACTGAACTCATACCTCCTGATTGTGATTTTAATAATTGAAAACCCTGGTAATATTCAGAAAACCCCAGAAGGGCTTTCAATGTGAACCGATGTCCCACGGGCTGATGGTCAAGAGGACTGGCAACTTAGTCATTGAGCAAAACCTTTAACTTATTTTTTTTTAAGTTGTCCCACCAAAATTTTCTGAAATTTTATTCCAGAAATTAAATATAATTTGAGAGGTTTGTAGATGTGGGACAGTTTCTAAGAGCAAAGATATGAGGTGTTGTATCATGAAGTGACAAAGAGAGTTATATATTATAATTTTTTGTCCTTTGGAAAATCTTTTGATGTTAGGATAACAAAAATCAGCATGAGGGAATAAGATAAAATAAAGGCAGTCAGCATTATTGATGGGAATGTGTAGGTACGAGGTATGTAACGGCAATGTGCTGTAAGGGAAGTGTATATCACAACCTGGAGACTTTTGTTATGGTCACCCCCTTCAGTGATGTTCCTTGTTAGAATGAGGATATCAGAAAAATAGATAGACTTTGGTGTTGCATTAGACATTTCTTTTTTGGAGTGAGACTTTGATCACAAGGCCAGGCTCAGTTGGAAGGGTGATAGTGTATGGTGTGGTGGTCACTGTCAAGGCTTGGACTAATAGCTACTAAGCATCTATACTTGGAGGATGCCCTTACATTTTGTCTTATAGCAGGGTAAGGGCTGCAGAAAACAGACAAATATCTTTACTTAGGAATTTAGAATGTGCATTAGTTCCTGTAGTTATTATTAACATTTTATTAAAACCATATTCATTTGGCAGCATGCAAACACTGCTGATGATGATGCAGAATGGGAAAGGTTCCAGAAGGGTCTGACTAAGAGGGAGAAAGCTCTTGAAGGTAAATCCAAGATGTCACACACGGTACACTGCCCGTATTTCCCTGATGATAAGCAAGAGTATTGGTGGACATATGTTTGTGACCGCAAGAAGCACATGCTCAGTACTGCTCCTTACCAGGTGAGAACTGTTCAGCTCAGTAAATGTGTGTATAGCAGTTTTAAAGTTGCTGTATTTTTCTCTTTTGAAAATCAAATGGTCAATAATAGGAATGATATTTTAAATCATAGTAATGTACTCATCTCACCTGCACTCTAAGAATGTGGCTTTGTACTAATCTAGAGTAGGCAGCAATGTTTACTCCAGAACAGGTGTTGTTGCAGTACAAGTTATCCATTGTTCATGTTGAAGTACTGTACAGTATCATTATATCAACTTGCTCAATTTTTTTATGTATACAGTACATGCCATTACTTTTATCCTCTTAACAGTGTAAGGAGTAATTTACTTATCTTTATATACAGTACTACTAAGCTTGGAACAAGAATCTTTTACCACTTTACAGTGCATGCCTTCTACCAGTGAGTTTTACTTTGATGATTTGAATATATTTATTAGATTATGCATAGTACTGTACTGTACTCTGTGTTCTATTTAGGTTCTTCTATGTACAGGCCTTCTCTTTTGTGTGTGTGGGGGGGTGGTATAGAGAGGTTATTATTATTTGTTAAGTATTAGCATCTGATTTCTGTGTTTTTAATTTCTATCAACTTTCAGATCGAGAAATATTGTAACATACATACATACATAGAACTAATATCCTATAAAATTAGGATATGTATGAATGCAGAGGAAGTACTGTGTAGTATAATGAAATGTGAATCAATAGTGATGTGGTGAGGTAGAGAGAGAGTCTGCATCTGTTATTCTGGTGGATATTTATACCAGTTGGTAATTGACTATTCAGAAATTTTCATTGTCTTCATTATGGGAAAATAGTGATTTTTTTTTATTTTAGTTGTGCTGTACTGTAATGATTGTTTTGTTTTTCTAATGGTGTTCTTTCTTATTCTACCGGAAGATTAATATTTTACGATGTTGTGTGTGTTCTTTTTATAGATAACAAACCTGGTGGATCATGAGGAAGTTCAGCTTAAGTTCACAGCACCACAGAAGCCAGGTATCTACAGCTACCAAGTGTGTTTGCGTTCTGATTCATATTTAGGTTTGGATCAGAATCAAGACATTAAACTAGATGTGAAAGAAGCACGGGAGATCCCCACAGAACACCCGCAGTGGCTAGAATGTACGAGTGATGAGGATGATGATGATGACAATGAGATAGGGAAAGATGATGGTGAGGACTCTGAGTACACCACAGATGAGGAAGTCACCGACGAAAGCGATGAAGAATGATGTGAAGACTAAAGTTGAGTACCATACTGTACACTATAGATCTGTGGTCTGTTGGAAGCTCAAGGCCAAGTAATTTCATCCAGTTTTACTTTTATTTTCATTCTTTGATCTGTTACATGTCAATATTTTGTGTTAACTAAATAATCCGCAGCTTCAACTCACTGGATCCAAGTATGGTGAATATAAAAGGAAGTTGTACTGGTTTTACAAAATACACCAAAATATACCAACGATGCAATGCATCGTTGAGGCTTGTGACTTTAACGATTCCTCTGTGAGCCTACAGAAAGGCTCATCTTCTCATAGAAGATTTAAATCCAAAGCTTATATCTCTAGTTCTATTTTTGAACAGTCCTTCATATGTTCTCTAGAAAGGTGCAGCATTTTCATATAATGTTGGAAGTTTAAACTAGATGTATGTGGAACCCGGACTTATTTTTTTTTTGTAGTGTGAGTGGAAGTATTGCCAAGATCTGCCTCCACAACAGTGTGTCTCTCTACCTACGAAGGTGGCTGTTTTATGGATCCAATACTGACAGCACAGAGTGAAAATTTTCATTGGTAATCTCTCTCTTTCTCACAGTAGTAAGACTTTCATTGACATATTGGGTCAGTAATGGATATTAGACCATGAAGAATTTGTAATACTGTATATTTATACACATTTTCACTTCATTCTGAACTTGATATTGCTAGCTCTTTGGTGGATTTTTTAACAACCTTATGATATTCATCAATTTAGAGATCTTTCATTCTGTAGAGGTTGTAGGAATCTGTAATTTGACAATTTTGAAGTGGTTAAGTTAAAAATATTTAGTGGTGTATGTATAGTACAGCATGGATGAAGGCACATCTTGTGTCACATTTCATTAAGGTGCATTTTGCTGTTTTATTTATATTTTGTATTCAGCATTGTAGTCATTCCGTATCTTGATAATGACAAGGCCCTTGAAGGGAAACTCTTTTATATAAAATAGTCTTACTTGAGATTATCATACATTTTGTATTTAGGATTATCATACATTTTGTATTTAATTCAGTCATGGGGCAAAATAATAACATGTTATTGGTTGGTTCTACAACCTTGCAAAGCAGGAACACGGGACTGCTCACTGGGGCACCTCAGTTGATCACAGCTGTCAACTTGTTTAGTTAACAAGATTTTGTGGACATACATGTGGGGCCTTCTGCGATGACGTCATCTTGTTTACAAATGGGTGCAGTTGGCAGGTTCTCTTACATTATGTTGATGAACAGAGCTTAAAGCAAACTTGAATTTAAAGCTAGCCACTTGCAGTAGGTGCATCATTGAACACTGCTATAAACTTGGGGTTAAAGGTGAACAAGAATTGTGGAATTCCAAAATTGAAAAGATGAACACAGATGGACTGATACTTAAAAGAAAAAAAATTGAAATGATCACTGACAAAGATACTGTACAGTATATGTCCAAAACACTTCTTAACAGGTTCAGTAATGTGCAATTTCATGTTTTGTCTCCAAATTTAATTACAGACTTAAATAGAGTATGATATGCTTTGTCATGCCTTGTTAAATTAGTAAGGATATATAGTTTAGGTGTGCTTAACTTTTATTTTCTTCAACATATCTTTTAAAAAATCAGGGAATGTTCTTGATATTCAAGTCTCCACTTGTGTATCTCATTATGATCGATTGTTTTTATTTATAGCGTTAAAAAAATTCTAAGTTCTCGTGCAAAATTAGTCTTGTTTGCAAATACTGTATTACACGAGAACAAAGTTGAGTAAAATACCTACGACTATTAAAGATTCTCATAAAATCCCATATTCAGTCAGGATCTTGTGGGGGGGGGGGGGTTGTACTCCGGTACTGTATGTGATAGGAGTGGTTCACGTAAATGAAGAGACCTGCTTTGATAACCCAACCGAGGTGGTTTATGGTGGTTGTAGCAGCTTTAATAATATCAGTTGTCATAAGTGTAAAACAATAATGGTTATCACAAGGTTCATTTTAATAGGTTTTGACTGTAACAACTTCACAGCAAATGACTGAGTGGTATTTGGCGCACTTAACCCCTTCATTGTTAAATAAAATAATCGTAGATAGATAAATACACGATAAAAAAAAAGTTCTCTGTCTAGATTTATGGGGAATAATGTAAAAAATAAATAAAATATTAACATGCATTCAAAGCTCCTATATAATGTTCAAATGTCCTGTGTCTTTGGTAACACAACCTGTGGTGCTTGAGGCAACTGGGTGCTGGTGTCATCTTTTTGCACGCTTAGTGTTTTTATTGTTCATGCATAACATTTGCAGTTGTTTTTATCTACACTGTGGCACTAGTTACACCAATTTTGATATTACTTATACTGTACTCACAAAACCACTATATATCCATGCAGGTTACTGGTCGTGTGTGTAAGGCGGTTATGTGATCTTGTATTTTTTTATTTTCATACATCTACAGTACAGTACACCGATATATACATAATCATTTTTTTTCATGTGCTGTACAATATTTACACACCTTGTACTAGAACTTGTATTCACCACCATGCTCTCAACACCAAGAGTGAAAAGAGATTCTTAGTATCAGTATCCAAGACAATACCAACTGCTTCCTGGGTCTGGATTGCAAATTAGTATTTATTTATTTTATTTATTTTTACATATATTTCCAAGTCCCTACAAATGGATGGGGAATTTTAATTATTGCTCTGTATGCAATAGTTAAGGGAAGGACATATCACACTCGGCTTTGGAGCTTGTACCAGTAAGTGGCAATCACAATGTTGGGGTTTAGAATTGATCTTAAGTACAGAATTAATTTATATTGAAGGGAGGTGGGTTTGTGCCTCACTTTTTCAATCCCCAGTTGATGAATTCATATAAAATGGACAAAAATAGCTATTATAACCATTTTGTACAGGCTGAGACATGTCTTAGGAGCTGTAACATGCAGTTATTCTAATGGACATTGTTAATTGAAAGATCAGCAGTTTTTCTGTCCTGTGCTTTTGGAAATTGGTTTGGCAGTAATTAATTTTATCAGAAGTGCAAAACCCTGTTCATTAGGCAATTTGACATGTTAGACTGCCAGCCAGTTTAAGAGTTCTGCCTACTGCACGGATAAGTGAATATATTCCTTGACGTCATCGTTATATGAACACGGAAAGCCTCATAGGATATACAATCGCCCAAATTTGTGATGTCACAATTTCCTGAAATTTTCACTCAGAAAGTGGTGTCTGGCGACTACCAGGCTCGCTTTAGTTTATATACAGTATATATATATATATATATATATATATATATATATATATATATATATATATATATATATATATATATATATATATATATATATATATATATATATATATATATATATATATATATATATATATATATATATATATATATATATATATATATATATATATATATATATATATTATATATTTATTTATTTATAAGTGGAACACAGTTTTATGAAATACAGAGAGTAGTAAAAAATTAATTAATAAATGCTAAAGCAATTTTTCATAATGTAAGAAAAAAATCATATATCCTGTATAGTACCCGTAGTTAAAATATTAGTTCAGTACTGTACCGGTATACAGCGAGTTCTGCTATAACGCGTGTTTTGACAACGCGAATTGGCTCTAACACGATTTATGAATAGAGGAACGATATTTGTATAACGCGAACGCTTGTTTGCTGTAACGCGATTTTTGCTAACTATTCCTCCAATTTTGTGGTATTAACTGTGAATATGGTAAAGAAGAATATCTCCAAGAAGCGTTCTGGTGATCGCATTCCTGGTGATGATCGTAAAAGAAAGGCTATAACCCTTGAAGAGAAGCTCGATGTTATCAACCTCAAAATCACCCTTCTCCCCCATCAGGTTATATTCATATTTTTTCAAGGTAAAGTGTTACATTTACTGTATGATTTCATTATTAGATATGAATGTAACATTTATTTAGACTGTGCTATCCTTTGTGTTAGGCTAACTACAAAATTTTTTTCGATTTCGAGTAGTAATCTGCACCTAACCCTATTCTCTCCATAAGCCCTGTTATTTCTATTACGCGAATTTCTATAACACGATGTTTTACAAGAACACAACTATCGCGTTATAGCAGAACTGACTGTACAGTGCAGGTATTTTGAAACAAAATAATATGACATACAAGAGTATTGCTCAGGGACATTCAGGAATAATTTACAGAGAAAGAACGAACATCAAAATGAGTAGGTATACATTGTATTAAGCTGAAATTAGTATGAAATAAAACTATGAATTGAAATATTATTCATACTCTTCATGCACTCATAAAAAAAGTTTGGAATTTTAGATAGCACCAAATAATGAAATATAAAATATTAGGTACAGTAATTTTGTTTAACGGTCATTCGTTCTTTGGGAAAAATTTAAATTTTACTAGGCCTGTAAATTGCCGACTTCTATGAACGCTTATTCAATCAACCTGTAATAATTATTAAAGAGCAACGAACACCTTTCATATTGTTCTAGAAATAAAACCACTTAAACAAGGAAATGAGCCTTATGTAGATTCTTCTACACCTAGAAAAGTTATTGGCTTGTGGTGTATCATCATGGGCTGGCTGTCCTTTTTTTCTGCACACATTTCTTCGTCTTTACTACCCGTCTTGAAGTCTTTAACCTGCAGAAATATAAGGGAATGCCAGAAAAAGGTTAGGCAGTGAGAAATTCAGCTCAGGATTTCGTTAATATACAATACTGTACCATTTTACTACGACTCGACTCCCGTCGCGTTGCCAGATACTGCTATTTGAACGAATCATTCTGAAAACAGTGACATCGCTTCTTTGGCCGATTGTACTAATGACTGTATGTAAAGGGAAATATTTTTGAAGTCTAGCAGTTACAGTTTAAGAATGGCCTAAATTTATGAGTGTAGAGAATCCTATTACTCTTAGACCACAGTAGAAAGGATAGAGATTATATATTTTTTACAATGCTGTATATTATTACGGTTACAGTACAGTACAGTATAAGATTTCTTTCATATCAGCGAAATATGCTGTAATTGAGGGCTTTAATGTTTAGTATACAGTACAGGTCTATGTTTATTTCAAGAAGTACTGGTAGTTTTCTATGTTATTCTTGTATTTTCAGGCAGCCACATTATCCTTTTTATTTTCCTGATCGGATAATCAAGAAATTTGGCTTTGATCTTGTCATTGAAAGAAAACAAAAAATTCATACAGTTTAGTCAAGAAGTTTGATTTATAGAAGTATGTAGTGTTGTTTATTTTTATATGAAGGGATCAATAGATGACCAAGTTTGGAAAGCTTTGTGACTTGTGCGATGGTGGCAAGTCATTCGGTTACTAAATGTGTGTTGTGTGTTGTTGGAATCGTGGGTTTCATTCTTTAGATGAGTGATGCCATTGTTGAACAAGTGATGTAATGAAGTATAAGTGTATTATAATGGTCATATTTTTTCCCACTTAAAGGGTGAGTGAATCAATAGAAAATAAATTCTCCTTTTATTAACAAAATTTTACTTAAAATTCGACAGAATGACAAATTTTCTCTGTCTTGATTCATTACTTAAGTCAGACAAAATAAAGTTAATATTTTACCCATTGCACAATTCTAAAGATGTTTAAAATTTGACATATATACAATTTCAAGTATAGAAAATCTAAAACTTGTTGAAAGCTTTACAAATTTGGTGAAATAATATGTGAAGCACATTTTTCTTATATATACAGGTATTGGGATAATTTGATAATATTTATACAATATTTTGAAAGCTCTGAAAGTGTTGAGATACCTGTTTTATGAATAAAGAATGTTGAAATACAGTTAGATGTTTTGCTGTACTGTATCAGACTTGCGGATTTTTGTATTTACATGAATTATTTGAACAGTCCTGCCCTCCAAATTGTGTTGGGGATGGAAAATGAGGTAAGGAGGAATTGCCAAAGGCTACATGAATTAATGGACTTTGGGAAGTATGAGGAATTGTAATAAGTGACATGAATGATGGAAACTTGGATGAGTAGAACAGTGTGGTGGAATTGTGATGTGTGGCTTGACTTGAACAAAGTTGTACTGTACTTTTAAAAGGGGACAATTCACTTTTTTTTTTTAATGAAACAATGAATTTTCCTCAGATCTTCATGAGATAAATTTTCTTCATGACTGCTGTTACACTGAAGTATGATAACAAGTTACAGTAAATGTGATAAAGATTGAATATATTGTGATGTTGGATTAAAGCCGAGTGTGACATATTTTAATGGGTATCAGCTGTGTTGGGACATCTTATGCAGATGTGTGTGTGCGCGTGTGTATGGCGTCATGTCGCGTTATACTGTTTTTGCTGTTGACCATGTGATATGAGTGTGGATATGGGCAATGACAAAATCTCTTTAAGGTAGTATGAGCAAATAGTCTTCTTTCTAAAATATCTATACCAATGCTGCTGGTTCTATGTTTAACCATCTAACATCCGAGTTATTGTCTGCTTGGTCAATCCTTATCAAAGGTTTGGCGTACGATGTGAATGCTTGATGTACCTAGAAAGAATATTTTAAAGTGTTAAGAAAGGAAGTTAACATTACATTAGGAGTAGTGGTAAAAAGAATCAAGCGTGATGCTGTATTTTCTTCTGTGCAAGAGAACAAGAGTTGGAAAATAGTCTCTTAAGTCCTGGGAAATGTGCTCATGGAAAATAATGTGGTGAGAAATGCTGGAACTTAGTGTCTTGAAGTTTATCTGGTGATCATCATGCAAAATACTGGAATAGATTACAGAGCAGAATATTTAATAAGAATGAAAGTATAATGTAATATAAATAAAGTACTCTGTTAGAAGGGGAGGTTCTAATGCAAAGGAGGGATATTTGCTGTGATGTAGAGACTGAACGAAGGAAGATTTTCATAATTACGATATATAATTTAGTCAAGTGGGGGATAGTCGAGAATGTAATGAAGTAGAAGTGTATGACTTACGAATATTGGTGTATTTACAGACCGTAATGCAAAGGGCATTTTACTTAAATTAGGAAGTACGCTAACAAAAATTCCCCAGACAACTTATATAGAATTTTTCAAATTAATATTGTATCTCAGAGTGGATTTCACCAACATTTTTGCAGAGTGGAATGGTAGTATTTTATATAAGAGTTTGTGGTGCTGGACATTTCAATAAACAACCTCTGAGTGAATGATTGTAGAGTACTGTACCATTACATGATACCTGCCATCCACCCCAGAATATGTGATAAAGCTGGAAACTTTCTTAATTCCCCAATTCACCTCTGTGATCTTACTTTCCACAAGGATCAATCCTACAACATGTTACATTTCCATAATTTTCAGAATTCAATACTAGTATATCAGAGTTTGTTTGTATCATAGTAAATAGTACAGTAGTGGAAGTTTGGTGTTGTTTGAATT